AAACTCTGTATATATAGCATCATTCCTAAATTGTCACCAAATACTTGTGAATAGATTTTTTTCCATAAATGTTAAATTAAAGATTCCTTCAGTATGTCTGAATCACTGAATGCAAGATTTTGCATTACACATGATATTCTTTTCATTGCATCATGTGAAATTTAAACTCTTAAATTCATAGACACCATTACTATACATAATTTATATTGTTTGATTTAGCATCACACTCAATTTAGTGACAGTTTTAGAAGTGAACAAATGGTGGCACTAAATTATATACTGAAATAAAAATCAATTGATAAAAGCTTAATTTTATTATAAATTTTTTCAGAACTGTAATGGATGGCAATGTCCAATCTTTCCTAAGCCAGTTATTTGGAGCTCAGCTGATAAGTCGTAATCATTGTAGATGTGGAGAAGAAACAGTGCAAGAATCCACAACTTTGCTTTGTTCTTTGGTGTATCCCGATTGTATGCCTGCAGGTAAAATATACAAATTTTAAAATAATAAATGGTACTATGATAATTAGAAGAAATTGATAAGTTTCTTTAATTTAATTTTGATATACAGTAGGGCCTTGTAATATGCAACAAATATATTCCAAGATCTTTTATGTATATGGAAATTTGTGTAAAATAGAGAATTCTCATTAATTATTAAGTATTATCTGCACAGTAGAACTCTGATTATCCAAACACCGATTAATGTCCAATTATCTGAACTACCACTTGCTCTTTTTTCTCTCTCTTACTGACATCACATTGCAATTTTTTATTTTACATGACTGCAATTCTCTTATGTTTGTTGTGAATGTGACTGAAAATGTCTGCTAACTCACAGAAATGAAAACATGTTGTTCTTACCATTGCAGAAAAAAATTGAGATCATAAATGCATTGAAAAAAGAGAACCTTGGAAATGTATTGCTGAAAAATATGATGTGGGAGCAGCTAGTGTTTTGAACATTAATGAAAATGATGACACAATCCTGCAGTTCACTTCTATCCTGGAAAGTGAGGATGACTGTTCTAGCAGAAAGACAATGAAAAAAGTGAATGAAGCTAGTATTATGCTATTTAATAATAAATAGCATAATACTGTAAATCATAAAAAAACAACTTTAAAAATCTTGGGAACAGACTTTTCACTTTTGTTACTAAATCTAAAATTTTAATTTTTTTATTAAAGTAGGCACTTTATGGCTTTTTTTGTCTTTATCAGAGCTACCATCATCATTACCCTTACATTTTAGAGCCATGATTGCAAAGTATTTAGTTTAAATGAAACAATGAGCAGCAAGCACTGATATCACATTGACACGATGTGTTACATGCAAGAACTCTAGACAAATGAAAATTATAGTACACACAATAATTTTCATTTGTCTTAAAATGTATTTAAGACAATTTAAATTCTTCATAAAAAATATTTTATGTTGAAAATAATAATTACTGTTATTAACTTAAAAATTTCCAAATAGATTATTTTAATTCAGTTAAAAACAAATGATATATTTTAAGTATTTTTAATGAAATGTCATGACTAGGAAATGAGTGCAGAACTTGAAATATGGTAGTAGTATATTAGTAGTGTAGTAGTATATTAGTATATTTTATAAAAATATAACACATTTTCATGAACATGGGTTGATGGAATCTAGTTAATTGGTACATATACTTAAAATCTGTATCTGATATTTATGTGAAAGACACTTTGATTTATTCTTTCTTGATAAAATTTGATTATTGGTGAAGATTAGTAGTTTTGATACTGAACAAAAATAAAACAAAAATGTAATTTTATTTGATACTTAGTAAAACTATCAATTGTAGGTAAATCTCCTATACAATTTAATTTCCATCAAATTTTGAAAAAGAGCCTCCTAGTAGAACAAAATATGCCTGCTTGGTGTGAAAAATGTGAAAAATATCAAGTGATGGTATGGTATAAAATAAATTTTTTTATAAAATAATATCTTGTAAGTGTAATAATACTAAATTTTATAGCAACAAAGAAAGAAGCTAAAAACTCTTCCAGATATTTTGGTTATTAGTTGTGGACTTGATAATCAACAAGATTTAAATTTTTGGAAAACACAAATGGATGTAAGATAATATTTTTATATTTTTATTGAATTATATAAAAATCTGATTTTTTAATATATAATATTTATTATTTTTCATTATTAAATGAATAGTTATTGAATAATATGGAAGGAAGTAACACATTAAAAACATTACCAGATATTCCTTTCACACGTAAGCCTTGCCGATATGGAAACAGCTGTAATAGAGCTGACTGCAAATTTCTCCATGATAAAGAACAAAATACTAGGTAAATTATCATTACTAGTTGATTTCAGAGATAATATTTTGATTCTCACAAAAATTAAGTTAATATTTTGAAATTTTATTTAGTTCTACACAACAGCAACCTGTTACATCTTGGCTACCTTCATCTTTGAGAATTAAACTTGATGAAGAAAATGATGATATTATTGTAGAGAACATTTCAGATTTAATGGTTAGAAAAATTTATTTCACTTCTATTGCTGTAAAAAAATATGTATAATTTAATTTCATTTGTTTATAGGATCAAAGTGAAGATTCAGAGAATAAAACAAATTGTTTACTTGACGATGATTATGAATTAATTGCAGTTGTAAATGTGATTAATGATCCAAAAGAATATCGGGATAACATAATCAGTTGTATTAAGGTAAATAATGATCAGAAAGGAATTCAACAATGGTATTTGTTCAATGATTTCAGTATTACACCAATTACAGAGGTATATTTGTTTTCATAAAATAATAATTTTAAGTTATAATAATTATTTTTTATTCTAANACTATCTCCAAAAGAAAACAACAGCGTTTGCGGTTTAATCACATGACATGGACAAAACCAACCTGAACACGTAGGAAAGGTTTGATAGAATCAATTTCATACACTGTAACTTCAAATACTTGCTTTTGTTGTCAAACATTACTGCAGTCCCTGAACTTTTGGTTTGTACCATGTATAATAAAAAATGAATAGATATGACTGTATTTAATGGTAAAAATTCTTTCAAAAATATGAACTATCATATAAGTAATTACTATGAAAATAATAATAGTCTAACATATATTATCAATATATATGTTACTAATTTCATAAATATTAGTCAATGACAAAAATAAATTATAATTAACAAATTATTTTTATAGAAATGAGTATAGCAATTTAAATATAATTATTACAATGATTTCAAATACTATCTTGAAATACAGTAATATTTATACCTTTGCAAAAAATTCTTATATTGATAATCAATAATTTAATTTTTGTTATCAGTTTGAGATAATGAAGAAAGAAATCAGAATTCAAACATTTCAACAAATATTGAAATAATAATGTTAGTTTTTATGAATGTTTTTTTCTTCTAGTTAGAGATATATTTGAAAAATCAGATACAAAATAAAATGAGGATATATAACAACTTATTTAGTATTGACAAAATTATAATTTGTAAAAATACAGAGGGTGATAAGTTAATTCTGACTCATATAAAAATCTTTGTAACTTTCCTTTAAAAATGTTAGAGATATGATAATGCAGTTTTTAGCAGATGCTGGTCAGTCATGCACAGTTTCATGTAATTCATTATTATGTTTATTGTTTGAAATTGACAGTGATGAATAGGTTTATAACAGAAATGCTGGTAAAATTACTTTCCAGGCAAGGAATGTCATCTCAGATTATTGAGAGAAAACTAAAAAAATGAAAAATTGAATGAATGATAAAAAATGAAATTTTATGTTTTCAGAGTACAATTATCAGAATAATTGGGAATATGACAAACAAGTGACAAGCTATAGTAGAAAGATGTTTCTAAGCCCATTTTTCCACAAATCTTCAATGTGCACACCAGAGACATAATCTAGAAAGTTAAGAGGTTGATAGAGAAAGCAAATCCTGTAAGCCAACTGCAACTGATCCATTGCAAAATAACTAAGAACCTGTCAATCTATAGTCCGTACAGTAATTTATAAACATTTGTGAGCAACGCTTGTCAAAAAGACCAACATACATAAACTTACCCTGGTTCACAAGAAAAATATGAAGATAAACACCAAAAAATTGTATGGATGCCATCGTACTGGGAATAGGTACAAATTTATGGCACCCTTGATGAAGAAATATCTATCTGCACAACTACAATAGAGTTAGAAAAATATTGTACATTCAACAATGCTAGCATTGTTGAATGTACAATATTTTTCTAAGCAATGAAAGAGTGGCTTGCAAAATAGCATGAAAGTTGGTCTATTGGATTTATGGTTGTATGGGGGAATGACTGAAAGAAGACCTCTACTAATAGTCAGGATAGCAAAAAAATGTAAAGATGAAGTTATATTTGCACAAGGAAATTCCAAACCTTTATCCTGGAGAGGAGGCAAAAATATGGTGGACACACTAAGTCAAAAAATCATGTTGCAAAATTTACAACTGTCTATCTTCAGGAGTTGAAAAACAGAGGGAGGGCCTAGTTTCTAAAAATGACATTGTAGTAAATCTCCTAATATAAGTCCAGTAGACTTCTTTGGCTTTGACTATCTTATTTCTTCATAAAGCATCAACATTGCAAAGTCTTTAGAAAGTTTTATGGGAGAAGTGGTCAAAAGTTACTCCAGAAATGCATACAAAAGTGTTCAATTCTTAGAAAAGGAGATACAGAGCTCTTAGAAAAATGCAGATCATATTAAGCAGACCAAAGGAATTCACCATAGATATTGCACAAAATAAAAATATAAATAAACTGAGTCAGTTAACTTATCACCATGTGTATTTTAAGTAGAAACTGTTAAAATTAAGTTTAAATTTAAATAGTCTGAGAACTATAAATTGACTAATTCACTTCTTAAGTTTCTATATGAAATGAGGATTTTAGTACTGATTTAATTTCACTTTACACTCATATCAAATTATATTAACATATTTTATTTTGTTGTTCAGGAGATGACACAAATGAGATTGTGCCCCAACGTTATCTTAAGTTAGAAGTAAAATATTCAAGAACAGGTACTGAAGACATGGATTATAGTCGATATAATAGAACAGGATTTTCAGGACTGGAGCCTTATCCTCCTAATGCTTATTGCAATAACATGATACAAGTATGTTAATATATCTTAAAATTTAATAAATGAATAATTATGAATAAAAATATAATATTTATATTTGTATAATTTCAGGTATTATATTTTATACAACCCTTAAAATGTGCTCTCTTATCTCATATATGTCAAAGAGAATTTTGCTTATCTTGTGAATTAGGATTTTTATTTCATATGCTTGATACTGCTCAAGGATCACCATGTCAGGTAAAAATGTTTCTGTATTTCATTTTATTTCTTTGTTTCTAGATTGACTCATTTACCTTTTACATAAAATAGGCTAGCAACTTTTTGAGAGCATTTCGTACAATTCCTGAAGCTTCTGCACTTGGACTTATTTTGTCAGATTTATCAGAAGCACGAAGAAAAACAAACATTCCTCAACTAGTTCAAAGTTGGACAAGATTTTTATTGCAGCAAATCCATACGGTATATTTATAATGAAATTGGTTAATAATGTATAGTTTATAGTAATAAAAGTAATAACATCATAGTTTAAAAGTTAGTTATTTATTTCAAGATTTATTGACTATTTTTTTTTTAAATATAAAAGTTTATTATTGTAATTAAAAAATTTTCTTATGTAAATAAAATACATTAGTCTACCATTAGTCACTAATTCACTCATTCATTGACTCACTATCATCAAATATTTGAGTAAAAGCAAAGCTTTATCGAAAAAACAAAAATAAAAATGCAGAAGAGATAACAATATGTTACCATAAAAATCTGAAATCTCAAAAAGAAGAATAAAATAAAATATTTTGTGTACTATAAAGTGTCAAAGTTTAATCCTCAACATCTCATACTACTGAGCACTTGATTTTAATGTTTTTAGAGATGTTTGTTATTATTAATTCGCTCTGCATTATTTTCAATTATAACATTTTCTTTTGTCTTATCATTGATGATGATTAAATTTTTAAGTATTATTTACAATTTAACTAATACATATAAAATTAATATTGTTTACAAAGAATTATAAATTGTGACAAAGATTTGGACAGCATCATAAAATGACACAAAACAGCAGGATTTAAATATCATAGGTTGTCCGGAACAGAATTTTTTTGCATTTTCATTTGATTTGATTTTTTGCTTAAAATTTGCTAATTGTTTTAATATGTCAGTAACAAATTTAAAACCATTATTCTACTAAAAATTAAATTATTTCTGCTTTTTCTTTATCTTGGTATTCATTATAGAATACATATTTCATTTTAAAATAAAATATTACAGTTTACATTAAATCTTTTAATTAAATGTATATGAAACACTTTCAATAACTGGTGATATACATAATAACATCATGCTATCATGATATTTATTTCAGTTATGTAAGATAAGTGATACCATAATAAATAAAAAATAAGATATTGAAAATAATCTTTCAATAAAAATTTCTTTAGATAAACAAACTTAATAAATTTTCTGTAAATATGATCAAAAAGTTTTCAGACTCGTTCAATTAATTAATTTGAAACTATGCTCTCAGGACAAATCTGAATAATTTTTGACTTCTTTATGTCATATACACACAATTGCATTGCTGTAGTTTGGTTTTTTTTCTGCCATGAAAAACGGTCATCTTGAATATGTTAAAGTTATTCAATAGTCTTAGTTAATATAGATTTAAACAAGCAGTGTGTGTGCATGTGTGTGTGCATGCACATAAAGTTTTATATGAAACACTAAAAAGCTCTTATAGAAATATTTGAGGTAATGAAAAACATTTTTTGGAAATGAAGCTCAAAGTAAACCAATTGTATTCAAATAAAACAAGCAATTTAAAAAGGCCATATGTCTATTGATGATGATCAATTGTCTAGATTATCTTTCAATTGCAGTTATGCCTGAATTAATCATGATCACAGTTGATATAACCAAAACAAAAATAACAAACAAAAATCAGATAGTGTTAGAAATATTTATGTAAAAAGTAAAATGAAATTATATTGAATTGTTATCAAACCTAATTGTTGTCCATAACAACACTTTCCATATTGTACCTACTATTCAATAATGGTAAACAGAAAATATTTTAACAATGGTTTGACAACCATCCATATGTCAGATTTGTCTCCAGCAGATATTTTTCTTGATTTTCAGATTTTAGAATAGTTAAAAGACTCTTATTTTCTTTCAGTTGAAGATATTCAAAGCTTTTAATGAAATCTCTTTCCAGAGAATAAATTTCATTAGAGGTTTTGAATACAAGAATAACAAAATACAAAAGCAATATAAAAAATCTTATTTCATTAGCTGAAAAAAGGAGGTTGTATGATATATAATTTCAGAAGAAAATAGTTTGAAGATAACAATATTAATGTTTAGTTAATTTTTTGTGTTTTTATCCCATTAATCTGGGAATTTATTGATTTCATATACAGTATATTGCATTTTCATTATATTTGCTCTTTAAAATCACTTATTTATTTACTTATATTGAATTTCATTATGTAGTCTGTTAAATTTTATTTTAAGGTATTTTATATATATTTTATTATTTGACATATTCTGATATGATATATTCAGATACATTCATTTATACGGTATTTGTAAGTGAAAGCAAATTATTTTTATGAACTTTGATTCCATTTTTATAGAATGATTTTCAGTAGTAATTTTTAAAAACATATTTCTAAATAAGAATTTGTTTTCTGTCAGGAATTAATACAGGTAACCCCCGTATAATACGGGAGTTACGTTCCAAAAAATTGCCGTGTTATGCGCATCCGTATTATACGAAACAAAGAACTAGTGCGAAAAGGGGGGTTAGGTTCCAAAAATTAAAAAACATGTTGTTAAATCCTTATTTAAATCGGATTTATTCATTTTTTTCATAGTTAAAATACTGATTTATTATTTAAGTAAATATTTTACCAGAGTATTATTCATTTTATATGATGATCTCAGCACGAGCATCATCAACTGGTAACAGTTTGTGGGTGCATTCGTTAATAGCAGTCACTCTGCAACGGGAGTTCGCTGCTGTTTGTAGGCATTTAGGAACGACGGTGAAAGAAAGATGGTGGCGCCCGCACTATCGATAGTATCGTGTGGAGGAATCTATAATTCTAAAATGAGCTTTTAGAGGCAAAAGTAGGGTCCCAATTGTAAAATTTAACCATTAAATGGATTATTTGTTGAAAGAGCATTCAAAGTAGACACAAAAACAATTAGAATGTTCGCGCGGAGGTATAAAAGAATGCACCCTTTATTAAATTTCATGTTGTACGAGGGTTTTACCCAATTCCTGAACTATGTTAGAGTGAACCCGTGCTATAAAAGCACCGTGTTATACAGGGGATGTTCCCAATTTGCGAACCGTGTTATAAAAGTGCCGTGTTATATGGGGGTTACCTGTAATTAAAAAGTTTAATTTTAATTCATAATAATGATGAAGCAATAATTTAATTTTGATTGTTTAAGGAGACGCTGGAAATGGTTGGAAATGAAAATAATCAAAATGAAGAAAAATCAGAGTAAGATTTGATTATGTCTAAAATATATTAATCTCTGTCTTTTACATTTAATTCTGTTTAAAAAGTTTAATGTCCATCTGTAACTAGAAATATATTAAATCTTATATGTCTGATTTGATTTTATTTATAATTATGTTTGTAACTTTATTCTTTAACATTTGTTATAGTAGAATTTGTTTAGGTTTTAATTAATCTACCTGTTTTACTTATTATGAAATAAAATTATATTATTTCAAAAATTACATCTAAACTCATAAAATATAAAAGTAAAATTTTAGCAAAAATTAATAATAATTTAATTTGCAAATTTTTAGGAAAATTTATATAAAAAACAATAGACTTCAAATTTTTAACTTAGCATTGTGGTATACAAAATCAAATAACTGAAAGTTATATCTTTAGACTAGGTAAAAAATTTTTAAACTATAGTTAAGCATACAGATTCTAGCTGTTTGGTTTTGATTTACGTGTAATTTAGGTTATAGTTTAAATTTCTAATAATAAAATAGCTTCTTTAATTCAGTAGTCAACATATTTTGTCAGTATTATTTTCACTTTTCTATTCAGTCACCTTCAATTATACAAAATATATTAAACAATAATTTTCAAAATTGTTTGATGCTTTCGAAATATAATTTATCATTTTAGAAAAATAATAGTATACAGTAGTAATAACTGTAGTGTTTTATTAAATGTTCCAAATGTTAAGTTATATTAAATTTTCTTTTTTTTTTTAAAAATTTGAAATTACTAATATGCTGAAAACCATTGTTCTGAACATTTTGTTATGATTTGTGTAATGATGTAATTTTATTTCTTATATATAAATGAAAGCATTTCATGTTTTTATCAAAATTCAATCTCTTGTAATTTAATTGTAATTATATTTGTATTTTTTAAAGATATTATTACAGATTATAATGTAATTTTTTTTTAAATTCATTATAACAACAAAATCAAAGCAAATTTGTTAGATAATTTATAAACTGGTAGATTTTTTCATAGAATATTAAAATTTGTAATTATCTGTAATTTTTATTTTACTTTTTTTCTTTTACAGAAAAACAAATATATATAAACAATAGAAAAATAGAATTTTCTTTATTTTTTGAATTTTCTAAAATACTATATTATTGAAAGTTTTCATATTGTTTTAATTTTAAAATTAATATTTTTTATATTAAAATATTACATAGAATGTAAACTAGAATAGAATAAAGTAATATTTAATTATTTTATTTTTCAAAATTTTTGAGGCTTTATAAAGTCACCATACAGTCAACCCCTAATATATCGACTTCCTATACAGGGTTCAGAGGAATGTTTATACATTTCTATAACTTTTAAATCACCTATTGTAGTACCATGGATGTAATTGGCACCTATAGGAAAGTGACCATGCACAGTTCATTGAACACAATTTTAACAATCCTAGTGGCAAAATTAGGAACTAACTCAGAAACTAACAGAGATAAGCAAAAAAAATCCAATTATCAAATGAAAGAATGTGTTTATTTAGTACAAAATGATACTTGGTTTAGCAGAAATGCTTACAGGAAAGAGAAGAAAACATTAAGAATGCATCCATGGAAAACTTGATTCCCAGTGCCTAGCCTTTAACAGCAGCAGAAAAGCAGTTACAATTGCAATTGTGCAGTAAATGATTGGTTGGATGACATTCTTTTAAATGCATTGCCATGCATATTGTTTCAACATGATGATTGGCTTGTTCACAAAGCTTCTGTGTATATTTAAATATTACTATTCTAGAACAAAAACTCAAAATGAAAGAATGCTGGACTTTTATGACCACATTTTTCATTTTAAAACAAGTTGAATATGTTTTTCCTATAGCCTCTTGCAGTGGAATTAAACCTAGAAACCTAGTTAAAGTTTCCTTTCTTTTGTGAGTTAAAAATTGAACTAACATACACAAGTTTTTTTGCATCAAAATGGCAATATATTCATTTACAATGATGGTTTATTTATTGTTTTTGAAATTATTAATGAGAGCAGCTTTCAGAGTAGGTGAAATGATGTTTTTGATCAAGTATGCACATCTAGTTGTATGTAACTTAATGTACTTAAATGTACTTCAATGCTCATGTTCTACTATGATTTCATTTAGTGGTCAATTATAAGTATTGCACAATGATAAGTCGTGCTCATAGCAATTTGCAACTCTACTTCCTTAACTCTGTCATTATCTTTCCTGTTAGTCATTCTTACATTAAGTTCCTTCTGACGTTGTGATGAAATTTTCTGCTTATGTTACTCTGATTTTTCAGGAGTTGTGAAGCTACTAACCTCTGATACAATGTTGCAGAGGTACAGTTTATAGTAAGCAGCATCAGATCCATTAGCAGCCTTTTGGATCCATGCAAATGTTTTTCCTGTTTGCTTTGGTACTTATGACAGCTATCATAAGCTTTACATCTCTTTGAAAACAACTAAGGGAATAATAATTGATTTTTAAAAACAGCCAAAGTGAAGTTGTTCTCAGTTGATTTCCTGTCATTATCAGTTAGCACATTGTTGTGGCACAGACAGTAAGCACTTTCTTGTGACAGTTATCTTCCTCAGATACTTGGTGGCACAAATTTCACCAAATCTAACAAACTGAAAAATATTTTTCTTAAAGGAATGATATGTAATTTTTTGTCATGCAAGAAATGTCAAAATGCTAAATGAAATTTTTAATTCCAGCCAACTTTAAATGCCAGATATCTGAAATCTGATATAAAAAATGTCAATTTGCATATTGTTCAAAATGAAGCTTTCCCAAATCCAGAAGTGTATTGTCTCTGACAGTGCACATTTTGAATACTGTGTAGAGTAGACTACAGTATTTGGAAAGTTAGTTGTACCTGCATTGCACAAACTTTGTGTCACATATGTATCATTTTGTGCATAAATGTTTATTACTTTCTTAGTGTTTTATGTTCTTTCTTTAAGTATTTCTGCTCAACCAAATATCATTCTGTACTAAATTGAACAATGCTCTTTCATTTTGTAATGGAACTTTTTTATGTATCTCTGTTAGTTTTCTTTAGCTCCATATTTTGCCATTAGTGGTGCTAAAATTACATTCAATGGACTATGCATGGTCACTTTCATATAGGTGCTAATTATTTCTGTGGTCTTATGACAGATGATTTAGAAGTTATAGGGTATGTACAGACTTCCTTTTAAACTCTGTATATATAGCATCATTCCTAAATTGTCACCAAATACTTGTGAATAGATTTTTTTCCATAAATGTTAAATTAAAGATTCCTTCAGTATGTCTGAATCACTGAATGCAAGATTTTGCATTACACATGATATTCTTTTCATTGCATCATGTGAAATTTAAACTTTTAAATTCATAGACACCATTACTATACATAATTTATATTGTTTGATTTAGCATCACACTCAATTTAGTGACAGTTTTAGAAGTGAACAAATGGTGGCACTAAATTATATACTGAAATAAAAATCAATTGATAAAAGCTTAATTTTATTATAAATTTTTTCAGAACTGTAATGGATGGCAATGTCCAATCTTTCCTAAGCCAGTTATTTGGAGCTCAGCTGATAAGTCGTAATCATTGTAGATGTGGAGAAGAAACAGTGCAAGAATCCACAACTTTGCTTTGTTCTTTGGTGTATCCCGATTGTATGCCTGCAGGTAAAATATACAAATTTTAAAATAATAAATGGTACTATGATAATTAGAAGAAATTGATAAGTTTCTTTAATTTAATTTTGATATACAGTAGGGCCTTGTAATATGCAACAAATATATTCCAAGATCTTTTATGTATATGGAAATTTGTGTAAAATAGAGAATTCTCATTAATTATTAAGTATTATCTGCACAGTAGAACTCTAATTATCCAAACACCGATTAATGTCCAATTATCTGAACTACCACTTGCTCTTTTTTCTCTCTCTTACTGACATCACATTGCAATTTTTTATTTTACATGACTGCAATTCTCTTATGTTTGTTGTGAATGTGACTGAAAATGTCTGCTAACTCACAGAAATGAAAACATGTTGTTCTTACCATTGCAGAAAAAAATTGAGATCATAAATGCATTGAAAAAAGAGAACCTTGGAAATGTATTGCTGAAAAATATGATGTGGGAGCAGCTAGTGTTTTGAACATTAATGAAAATGATGACACAATCCTGCAGTTCACTTCTATCCTGGAAAGTGAGGATGACTGTTCTAGCAGAAAGACAATGAAAAAAGTGAATGAAGCTAGTATTATGCTATTTAATAATAAATAGCATAATACTGTAAATCATAAAAAAAACAACTTTAAAAATCTTGGGAACAGACTTTTCACTTTTGTTACTAAATTTAAAATTTTAATTTTTTTATTAAAGTAGGCACTTTATGGCTTTTTTTGTCTTTATCAGAGCTACCATCATCATTACCCTTACATTTTAGAGCCATGATTGCAAAGTATTTAGTTTAAATGAAACAATGAGCAGCAAGCACTGATATCACATTGACACGATGTGTTACATGCAAGAACTCTAGACAAATGAAAATTATAGTACACACAATAATTTTCATTTGTCTTAAAATGTATTTAAGACAATTTAAATTCTTCATAAAAAATATTTTATGTTGAAAATAATAATTACTGTTATTAACTTAAAAATTTCCAAATAGATTATTTTAATTCAGTTAAAAACAAATGATATATTTTAAGTATTTTTAATGAAATGTCATGACTAGGAAATGAGTGCAGAACTTGAAATATGGTAGTAGTATATTAGTAGTGTAGTAGTATATTAGTATATTTTATAAAAATATAACACATTTTCATGAACATGGGTTGATGGAATCTAGTTAATTGGTACATATACTTAAAATCTGTATCTGATATTTATGTGAAAGACACTTTGATTTATTCTTTCTTGATAAAATTTGATTATTGGTGAAGATTAGTAGTTTTGATACTGAACAAAAATAAAACAAAAATGTAATTTTATTTGATACTTAGTAAAACTATCAATTGTAGGTAAATCTCCTATACAATTTAATTTCCATCAAATTTTGAAAAAGAGCCTCCTAGTAGAACAAAATATGCCTGCTTGGTGTGAAAAATGTGAAAAATATCAAGTGATGGTATGGTATAAAATAAATTTTTTTATAAAATAATATCTTGTAAGTGTAATAATACTAAATTTTATAGCAACAAAGAAAGAAGCTAAAAACTCTTCCAGATATTTTGGTTATTAGTTGTGGACTTGATAATCAACAAGATTTAAATTTTTGGAAAACACAAATGGATGTAAGATAATATTTTTATATTTTTATTGAATTATATAAAAATCTGATTTTTTAATATATAATATTTATTATTTTTCATTATTAAATGAATAGTTATTGAATAATATGGAAGGAAGTAACACATTAAAAACATTACCAGATATTCCTTTCACACGTAAGCCTTGCCGATATGGAAACAGCTGTAATAGAGCTGACTGCAAATTTCTCCATGATAAAGAACAAAATACTAGGTAAATTATCATTACTAGTTGATTTCAGAGATAATATTTTGATTCTCACAAAAATTAAGTTAATATTTTGAAATTTTATTTAGTTCTACACAACAGCAACCTGTTACATCTTGGCTACCTTCATCTTTGAGAATTAAACTTGATGAAGAAAATGATGATATTATTGTAGAGAACATTTCAGATTTAATGGTTAGAAAAATTTATTTCACTTCTATTGCTGTAAAAAAATATGTATAATTTAATTTCATTTGTTTATAGGATCAAAGTGAAGATTCAGAGAATAAAACAAATTGTTTACTTGACGATGATTATGAATTAATTGCAGTTGTAAATGTGATTAATGATCCAAAAGAATATCGGGATAACATAATCAGTTGTATTAAGGTAAATAATGATCAGAAAGGAATTCAACAATGGTATTTGTTCAATGATTTCAGTATTACACCAATTACAGAGGTATATTTGTTTTCATAAAATAATAATTTTAAGTTATAATAATTATTTTTTATGCTAATTAATTTTGTTTTTATTTGCATACTTTTTTAGCAAGAAGCACTATTTATAAATTTAGAATGGAAGTTACCTTGTGTTCTTTATTATAGTTGTTGCAATGTTAGTAAAAAACATTCGTGTGAAGGTATTAATGTTTTTATAGTCAATGAAATTTATTCAATAGTATAAGCAATTCTAATAGTATAATATGTTTTAATAATTTAATCAGTTAGGAATCCAATCTCAGAGCAAGTGTTTCGAGAAGATGTATCATTAGCTGCAAGGGGTGGACAGTCTCACATAATGTTCACTCCTTTGAAACCTGATGAAATGCCAAAGGCTGGCCAAATAGTTGCTATGGATGCTGAATTTGTTACTCTTAATCAGGTTTAAATTTTAAATTTTTATGTTTTATTCTGAAATTAAATAATTAACATAAAAATAATTTATATTATATGCTAGGAAGAAGCAGAAATTCGTAGTGACGGAACAAGATCTACTATAAGACCATCACAGTTATCCGTAGCTAGAATTTCATGTGTTCGTGGGTAAGATAAATACTTAAAAAATGCTTCAATAAATTCATTTATTGCATATGATTCTATTTTAGGGATGGTTCGTTACAAGGTGTTCCATTTATTGATGATTATATTTCAACTCAAGAACAGGTCAGTTAAAAATTATATTATTTTATGTATTTTAAACTAATAATAGAAGGCCTCAATTAAACTGATTAAAAATGTAAAAGAATAAAACTTCAATTATACATCAGAAAGTGAGAACAATAATAATATTTTTTTAAATTTAGAAATAAAGAAATATAATATGATCCTTTAAATATTTGAAGTTTTGTTTCTTATCCAATTTATTTTATTAGTGGATCATACAATTATCCATAATGATTTTTCTTTCAATTCTTAAATGTTTTGTTTTCACTTTCTAAATAGGTTGTTGATTATTTGACTAAGTTCTCTGGGATTCAGCCTGGAGATTTAGATGTAACACTCTCTTCTAAACATCTAACTACTTTAAAAGCTACTTATCAGAAATTGAGATTTCTTGTGGATATAGGAGTAAAGTTTGTTGGTCATGGATTGAAAACTGATTTTCGTGTAATTAATTTAGTGGTAAGTCATTCTTCTTAATGACAAATATTAAATAAAATCCTTTGACATAATTTTCTATCACCTGGAATATGACATAGCACAGCAGTCATAAACAACAAAATTGTGAAAAGAAATATACTAGAAATAAAATTTATTTTTAGATAAATTAGGTACAAATATTAAACAAATTATTTCCATAAGAATGAAGCTTTTTTGTACAAGAAATAAAAATTTAACAGGAAATTTTTATCCTCACCTTGAAGACAAAATTTTACAGTTGTGTCATTGTATATAATTTTCCAATCAAGCAGTATATCTTCCTCTAAGAGGAAATCCTGATTCAAATTTGCATATTAAAGTAACTAGGTGAATGAAAATAAAGTATTTCTGGTAAACTTTCTTAATTTATGTTTCAAATCTTTCAAGTCATGGGCCATAAAAAGAAACTATGTAATGATATGAAAAAATAAATTATTATAATGTTACAAGAGGGAAAATTGAAGTGAGAAGTTGCTAAATTTTCAGTTGTTCTTAGAGCAAAATATCTAATCTTTGAAAAAACACAATACCACAGATGTTATTTTGTGTACATTGGTCATAGAAAGACAACTAAGAGAGATGATAAAAAATCTATAAAATATTTGCCTAAGAAATTGTAAAAATACTGCAAAACAAATGAATAATGAGTGGATGAAGAGGTACATTCAATTTTTTGACAGAACAGTACAGCATCAACTTTAAGAAATGAAGTTTAAGTTTTGCAAAGGTAAAACTAAGAACTACTAATGGCTGTACAACTGAGAAACCATGTTGTGTAGGCTAAAGAACATAAAGACTGAATAGTAGAGGAGGACAAATCAAGAATTTGTACAGGAACTGGTGACTGTGGAGACAAATTTGTATGGAGACATGCATCAGAAAAATTTAATGAATGTCTACTGAAGTCTGTTAAATTTCCTACAAGTTTGATAGTTTGGAGTTGCATGTCCTAGGAAGGTAGTGGTAACCTATGTGTAACAAAAGCCAGGATTAATGCTCAGGTTTATATAGAAATAATTCAGCACTCTTTCATACCATCAGATAATCACTTTGGTGATTTCAACGACTGGTGATTTGAAGCAATGCTATTTTCACTGAGCAAGAGCAGTAAAGGATTTGATACAGAAAAACAAATCAGGTATTTAAAGTGACCTGCTAACAGTCTGGATATAAATCCTATCAAAAACTTTGGTGAAAATTTATTTAAAAAACTCCTCACTTCAAAGGCACCAAATAAGGAGGAAAGAGTACTTCAATTAGAGTGAGTTGGCAAGAAATTGATAAAGATTATTGTCAAAGCCTGATACAATCAATGCCAAAACATATAATGGCTGTTATATGTAACAAAATTTCTTAGAAAATAAAATTTTCTAGGAAATCAACTATTATTAGAAATATTTTTAATTGAATAGTATTTTTTACTGTTATAAACATAAATAATAATTTATATATGGATTTTCTATTTATTGATAAATAGAGATTTTTATCTTTCCTATTAAATTTTAAGTACATTATTATTTATTGAACATGATTGGAAATTATACCCTCAGAGTGACAGCTATAAAATTTTGTCTTTAAGGTGAGGATAAAAACTTCATGTTAAATTTTTATTTCTTGTACAAAAAAGCTTCATTCTTATAGAAATAATTTACTTTTAATGTTTGTACTTAATTTATCTTAAAAATAAATTTTATTCCTAGCATATTTTTTTTCAATTTTGTTGTTTATAGCTGTTGTGCTTTGTATATTCCACGTGATTGCAAAATTATGTCAAGGAGTAGTAATTTCTTTTGGAAAGCTATAAAATATAATTATTTATAGGTTCCTTCTCATCAGATAGTCGACACAGTTTTATTATTTCATTTGCCAAATAAACGAATGGTATCATTGAGATTCTTAGCTTGGCATTTTTTAGGTAAGTTTGATCTCTTGTAGTCTATATTAATATTGTAATACATGCATTAGTATTGAATTAATTAATTGAATTAAATATAAAAGAGAAAAAACATTTCATTAATTAATTGCTCAAATATCAATGTTCAACTTTCTTCTTTAAAAATTTCATCTTAATGGAAGTTGAATTAATGGATGAATAACACCAGTTTAATAAATATTTATCAGATATCACATTAAACATTACTGACATTAGAAATATTTCTGTTTATTCATTGAAAATTTTTTAGATTGAAACATAATTTTGTAAATAAAATTTTCTAGGAAATCAACTATTATTAGAAATATTTTTAATTGAACAGTATTTTTTACTGTTATAAACATAAATAATAATCTATATATGGATTTTCTATTTATTGATAAATAGAGATTTTTATCTTTGTTGATTTTTTAATAGCAACTGTTTTATCTAAAATATAAAAATTACTTTTTTTGATAGAAAAAATATTTTTCTCAAATATAATTGTTTTGTAAATAGAGAAACTAAATTAAAAATTTTTTGAATTGATTTCTCCTGTAAAATATAAATTTAATATCTTAATATTATAAAATTTTTACTTTTTTTTAATATTTGACATACCAGAAATGATATAATATTTCACAATGATTCTATTTTTAAATTTGATATAGAATTTCACTTAATTTGTATTAAGCTACATACAAAATTGTTTATTATTAAAACTGAATGTCATAGTAATTTTAGTTATTTATAATTTAACTTTTAATGGATGAAATTATTTACCTTTATTTAATAAATTTAAAACATGAGAAACAAATTTCAAAAGTTGTAAATTCATTAAACAATTCATAAAGATAAAAAAAATCATTAAAATGTATCAAAGATTAGCCATTCTGGCATTTTCTGTTTCTGCATTCCATAGTCATGATCATATTAAAAATAGTAATGGCATTGAATTTTTTATTTTAGATTATTGTCACTTTTAAAATATAATTTGTCAGTTGAAGCCAAATTACATTTGAAGCTAGTGTATTTTGAATTGTTTCAATACAAATTACAGTTAATGTATAAAAACAATTCTGAAAGATTAAATTTACATAAAAATTCATAGACAAAAAATGGCTAAATAGCTTAAAATAAGTGTTTGATGTAACTGTAGTCTTGAAACTTTTCAAAAGATTTCTTTGTCTTTGTGAATCATTTAATAAATTTAGATATTTAATCAGTTAAAAATTTCACTTAATATATATATATTTATTCTGAAGATACTTTTTAAATAACAAAAGACTAAACCATATATCTAGATCTAAATATTTTATATTTGTGTTAAAAATTATCAAATTAAAGTCAACATATAAAGAACTTGTTTAGAAAGCTCTATTTAATCTTCATTTTTTTTTTTAAGCAAAAATACATTTAAATTTAATAATATACCATGTTCAGTTATTATATGCTATTAATAAACTAAATCTTTGCAAAATTTAAAATTTATTTTATAAATTTGTTTAAATATATTTCTGATTTTTACACTGTATTATCATATTTTTATTTATCTTCTTTACAAATTCTATTATTTTTGAGAAACTGTAATGTAATCTTTGATGATAAATTTTTAAGTATTCAATTAAAAAAATTATTTTTAAATCTTATAATGTGGTTTTGAAATATTGATGTAAATTTCATAAAATTCTTTTAAAAATCATATCTAAATCTTTCTTACATAATTTAGCTATTTTTCATCCTTTATGTAACTGTCACACTATATTAAAAAAAAAGAAAGAAAATCAATATTTATGAATCATAGTTATGATATGACAATATGGAATTATAGCACCAGAATAAATAAAATATTAAACAAAGAAAGCATTATAAATTTTGAATTGTTTAACAATTCAAAATTTATAATGCTCTCTTTGTTCAATATTTTTAAAAAGAATTATTAAACAATAATTGTTTTAAAAAAATATTTAATATTAAAAAGAGTAATTTAATTTATCATCAGACAATTTTAGTTCATAAAAAGTAGAATAAGTTTATGTAATTTTAAGTTAATTAGTTCAGTTTTAAATATTCTTATAAAAGTACCATAGTAACAATATAAAGAATAAAAACAAATTAAATTTGGAACAAAAGATGACAAAACAATACTTAAAAATAATGTAGAAAGAATATTAATTTACTAATGACATATAGGGGAGACCGGGGCAACTTTGGCATGCGGGGCAAGTTTGTCAAGCGCTTTTTTTTAAAAACAAATTAAAAGGAGACTTTGGTTATAGGTTAGGCAGTTGAGTTTTATTGGTGGCTTGTTGAGTGTAGTGTTTTTATTGTTCTCCAACAAGCGTAGTTGAATTATCAAGCAAATTTTCATTTTCGTTCAATTCCATATAATATTTTTTTTCCATTTATATTGAATTGGCAGGTTTTGTTATAATTCCATGATAACGAAAGTTACTTTTCCTGTTAGAAGGATGTAACTTCAACTTATTCACGTGGCCAGATCGTGGCTTGGCATTCTGTTCTCAGGGTTGTACTTAATGTTTCGAAATCATGACTAGCGGGGTAAGATCGGCAACATAAAGCCACATTAGAAGCAAAGGATAAAAATCAAACAGATGATAAATGAAAACATGTTTGCATTTGTTATTCATGTATATATGTCTTTGAACTTGCATTTCGTTGTAATAATATTAAATGGGTGTTGGATTTGTATTTCTTTGTTTTAATAGTGAATTCCAACTTATACATTGTTAATAACATAATTTTATATACGTGCCTATCTTGCCCCATTACTGTTGCCCCTATACCAGGGGCAACTTTAATAAAAATAATTAAAATAATTACAACTTTACAAAAAGAGAGAAGTTGCCGATCTTGCCCCTATACCCGGGGCAACTTCGTCAATTTCTCTCTTCTTGTAAAGTTGTAATTATTTTAATTATTTTTATTTCCAAACTGATTTTAACCAGTTCTATAGTAAGAAAACATTCCAATAGACAATATGCAAAGCTTTTTTTTCAGTTTACAGCAGTATTTATTACACAAAATTTAAGTAAAGCTTAACATGCCGATCTTGCCCCTATCCATCTCCCCTATCCATCTCCATCTACAGTATTGTACATTTGTGAAATTTACTTATTTTTCTGAATCTGTTTGTTCTATTTGATAAATATTGTTTTAAGTAGCTTAATCATTATAGACATCAATCTTTAGCTTCTTTATTATTTGGAAAGAAATATTTTATATAATCATAATATTATAAGACAGATTATAAAATATTGATGCTGTTATGCATAGAGAAATGGGACTGTTGACATGGGTATTGAAGAAATTTTTGAAAATACATTTCAATTCCCTAAATCCTAGGAAAAGAAGAATTACTAGTGGTATTTTTAGATATTTATTTATAAAAGTAAATCATAAATAAATTTTTTCTGGATAAATTGCAAATCATAAACCAACAGGAATCAATATAAATCACAATTTATCCTAATAAAAATATTAAATGTGCATCATTATACATTCTTTAAAGACATGTATAAGAAATTTGATATCATGATTGATCTGAAGTGACCAAGCTTTATTTATAAAGCAAGATTTAGTTAAAGCTTGGTTAAATATGAGAGCATTTTTCTGATTATTCAACCAGTTACATTTTCTACGTTTCCAATCATCACACCTAATCTACTTGCTTACTTCATCTCTCCCATCATTTTCCGTATTTATTATATAAATTAATATTTCATTTCATATTTAAAAATTTATAAAACTTTTAAAAAATAACAAAACTGAAATGTGGCTTTTCAAATATTGGAACAAAGTATTTTAAAATATTTTTGGATAACAACATTTAGCTGCTATAAATTCACGGAAATATTAGCCATTGAAGACTGTTTTATGTTTGTTTACGTGGAGCGTAAAAACGATTTTAACAATTTTGCGGAAAACATAAAAAAGGCTTAAATAAATAAAATATTGTTCGTTCCATTTAAACTTAAGGATATCTTCTAAACGCATCCCACTCCATCTCAGGTTTCTATAGCAACGTCTAATCGTTCGTTACACCAGCTGTTGTTTGCCATAAAAAATCGAAGTGAAACTCAGTAGGATAAATTGGATTGTAATATGAAGTTAACGAATAAACCATAATTCTGTCTGAAAGCTATCAAAATTGTCTCTGGCCTCACTTGTATCTTAAGTTATATATCCGCTGTCAAATTACGTACGTTTCGAACAAAATTGTTACAGATGAAGTCGATAATAAATGTAAATCAATCAATAAAACGTAAACTTACGTTGTGATAATATTTTGAGTCTGAGGGAGCAGAAAAAGAGGAACAATCCTAGTTTTGCTCATTAGGAAATGTCTCATCTCTCACCGATCTCTGATATCATCTGTGAGATCCCCTGTTGATTAAGAGCTTTTAAATAAATTAAATACAAATTGAAAGTAAAATTTTTACACACTTTTAACATCGTAATTTGGAAAATTATTGTTTTCATTTTGAATCTTTGACATTTATATATATATATATATTCACCAGTCTGTATATTAAGAACTCTGTTTTACTTGTTCCTCATCCAATTTACTACTTTGAAGAATAAAATCTACTTTAATCAAAAGTCTTGGAAAAATGTTGTTATTTCGGGTTGGATAGATGATAACACTGAATTGTTTTCGCATTTTTGTTTATAAGTTTTACAATCTTTTAAATATAAATTTATCTACAGAAACATCGCTTATAGTTTTTTTATATCTGATGATTAAAAACATACAACGGATATCTTTTATAAATTTTTATAAGATTTTCATCTTAAAATTGAAGCGCTGAGAGAATATAAAAATTATCATTTGTCTATTATTTTGATTTCGAATTGCTCCATTGTTTGATGTGGTAAAATAAAATGTTAAAATATAGAAATTTATAGTACGTTTTATGAATTTCACTTACATAAAAGTAAGTGAAATTCATAAAAGTAGAATTTCACTTACATAAAAGTAAGTGAAATTCTCATTGAAAACGGTGTTGGAATTAGCCTGATAAAAAAATTTACAAATTATAGAAATGTATATAATATATATTAGGGTTTTTAGTAAACAGTCGTGTAATAAGTGGATAAAATAATGCCTATGAAAGACAATAAACAGTAAACAGAGAGAAAATTGTTGTCTTCCAGTAAAAAATCGATGGCTCCATTTTAATTGATAAACATATTTTTGACGTATCTGAACGATATCTGGCTAATTTCAAGATGTCTGCGGCCCGTTAACATATGAACAAACCTTGAAAACAGTCTTAAAAATGAATGAGTTGTTGGTGTCAAAATTCGTAATTCATATTAAATTAAAGTCATAAAGATAAATTATATTGATTTTCTTAATGTTCGAAACCCGTAAACAGAATTTAACATTTATTTTTCGTCTTTGTATTTTCAGTTTCCATTCATTTATAAATGTCCTGGAGTTTAAAAATATTTTAGATGTGTTTTATTTTTAGAATGGATTAGGAAATTTATTTTGGAACCAAAAAATTAATTATTAAAAATAAAAATTCTTCTCTTTTTCTTTATTTATTGAGAAATGTTTATAATAAAGCTATATTATTTTATTGATATATTTGTGAATATTTAATTACCATATATCATGAATAAGATTACAAAATAACTGAAATACAACGTCATCCCGATTTACGAGTACTCGATACACGAGAATTCGATATAATGAATTTACCAAACAAGTTTACCAGACAAAATATTCGATTCAACGAGCACCCGATCGATGATTACAAAAACAAAATATAGGCATTCTAATCACGAATATGACCATGTGATGGGTGGCTTGTAGGTTTTAGTCTCTGTTTTTATTATTATTTTATTCAAGCCATACTTTTGTTTGCTATGAAGATACAACGTGAATGATATCAAGAAATAAGTGACTAACACCTGTGGATATTGCTATTCGTTCTAACGTAGTTGTGTAGTTTATTGAACTTTATTTCTATATAGCATGTCTTTACAACGGCGATTAGTTTTATTGATTAAAAAAACAAACTTACTTTACTCAATTTTGTTTTCTGCTTGCTTGTCGTCTTAACTAAGTTGTTTTCTTACCATTAAATGAAGAAATGCCTGGTAACTTGAGTTTGTTTGTTGTGTAGGCTTTTCTAATTACGTATGAGCTGCTTTTATCGGTGAATAACCTAATCAAACTTTTATTCATTTTATTTTATTTACAATCATTGGTTGATTGATAAATAGATGTTTTTCAGCACATTAATGTTATTTGAAGATCATGGATAGGGGTGAATAGCTTATGTTGGATCGAGGTTCAAACTTCTATCATAAGAAATAATGGAAAAACTTGTCTCTATTTACTGCGGACTACGCTGTAATTTTGTATACATTTACCTTAAAAATTTGTCCATACCATGAAAAAACTAAATTATATGTATCTGTTTTGAAACTGGTTTTATTAACTGTTCAAATTAATGAATAATTCAAGTTGTCAGCGTTTTTTAAAATTAAATTAATAGTTTAATCGTATATAGAGAAGAATGATAACATTTCAAAAGTGAGTAATTATACATCTACTTATTTAATTATAGGTAAAATTACTTAAATTTTATCAAATACAATAGCATTTAATCAGCACGGATTGTAATGAAAGTAATCAATCCTTTATATAAATTCCGATGCTACAATAAATTGTCGTAGCATTAGAATTAACATAGAGGATATAAAGATAGATTTATAAAATAAGACATAGTGCTTATATTAATATTTAAGCTATAAGAATAAAGCGAAAAAAATTGTTATAATTTCATTGAATTTTTATAGCAAGATATAGTGGAACCTAGCTTAACGAGCATAATTCGTTGCAAAATCTTACTCGTAATGCGAAACACTCGTTAAGCAAAACAGTTTTTCCCATATAAATTAATGTAAAATACGATAATGCGTTCCATGCCGAAAAAAATACTCAAATATTTTATGTACAGTATAACGTTTATTCAAAGAAAATTATACAATATACATTGTTAAGGACCCTAAATCATCATCATCTAGCGCGGAATGAACCAATCTGGAATGCGAATTCGATTTGCAGAAAACAAAAAAAATCACAATGTCTGATAAACAGGCCAAATTATATGCCAAATTCTTGGGCTATGTAAAGGCCATAATTAAATATTAATTAATTTGCCTAGAATTGGTAGGCAGTTATGTTGCCATTTTGTATTAAATTTAATAATTATAAGTAAATAATATTTAATTTAGATATTTTTAAATTTTTTTTTTAATTTTCNAAGCAATTCTAATAGTATAATATGTTTTAATAATTTAATCAGTTAGGAATCCAATCTCAGAGCAAGTGTTTCGAGAAGATGTATCATTAGCTGCAAGGGGTGGACAGTCTCACATAATGTTCACTCCTTTGAAACCTGATGAAATGCCAAAGGCTGGCCAAATAGTTGCTATGGATGCTGAATTTGTTACTCTTAATCAGGTTTAAATTTTAAATTTTTATGTTTTATTCTGAAATTAAATAATTAACATAAAAATAATTTATATTATATGCTAGGAAGAAGCAGAAATTCGTAGTGACGGAACAAGATCTACTATAAGACCATCACAGTTATCCGTAGCTAGAATTTCATGTGTTCGTGGGTAAGATAAATACTTAAAAAATGCTTCAATAAATTCATTTATTGCATATGATTCTATTTTAGGGATGGTTCGTTACAAGGTGTTCCATTTATTGATGATTATATTTCAACTCAAGAACAGGTCAGTTAAAAATTATATTATTTTATGTATTTTAAACTAATAATAGAAGGCCTCAATTAAACTGATTAAAAATGTAAAAGAATAAAACTTCAATTATACATCAGAAAGTGAGAACAATAATAATATTTTTTTAAATTTAGAAATAAAGAAATATAATATGATCCTTTAAATATTTGAAGTTTTGTTTCTTATCCAATTTATTTTATTAGTGGATCATACAATTATCCATAATGATTTTTCTTTCAATTCTTAAATGTTTTGTTTTCACTTTCTAAATAGGTTGTTGATTATTTGACTAAGTTCTCTGGGATTCAGCCTGGAGATTTAGATGTAACACTCTCTTCTAAACATCTAACTACTTTAAAAGCTACTTATCAGAAATTGAGATTTCTTGTGGATATAGGAGTAAAGTTTGTTGGTCATGGATTGAAAACTGATTTTCGTGTAATTAATTTAGTGGTAAGTCATTCTTCTTAATGACAAATATTAAATAAAATCCTTTGACATAATTTTCTATCACCTGGAATATGACATAGCACAGCAGTCATAAACAACAAAATTGTGAAAAGAAATATACTAGAAATAAAATTTATTTTTAGATAAATTAGGTACAAATATTAAACAAATTATTTCCATAAGAATGAAGCTTTTTTGTACAAGAAATAAAAATTTAACAGGAAATTTTTATCCTCACCTTGAAGACAAAATTTTACAGTTGTGTCATTGTATATAATTTTCCAATCAAGCAGTATATCTTCCTCTAAGAGGAAATCCTGATTCAAATTTGCATATTAAAGTAACTAGGTGAATGAAAATAAAGTATTTCTGGTAAACTTTCTTAATTTATGTTTCAAATCTTTCAAGTCATGGGCCATAAAAAGAAACTATGTAATGATATGAAAAAATAAATTATTATAATGTTACAAGAGGGAAAATTGAAGTGAGAAGTTGCTAAATTTTCAGTTGTTCTTAGAGCAAAATATCTAATCTTTGAAAAAACACAATACCACAGATGTTATTTTGTGTACATTGGTCATAGAAAGACAACTAAGAGAGATGATAAAAAATCTATAAAATATTTGCCTAAGAAATTGTAAAAATACTGCAAAACAAATGAATAATGAGTGGATGAAGAGGTACATTCAATTTTTTGACAGAACAGTACAGCATCAACTTTAAGAAATGAAGTTTAAGTTTTGCAAAGGTAAAACTAAGAACTACTAATGGCTGTACAACTGAGAAACCATGTTGTGTAGGCTAAAGAACATAAAGACTGAATAGTAGAGGAGGACAAATCAAGAATTTGTACAGGAACTGGTGACTGTGGAGACAAATTTGTATGGAGACATGCATCAGAAAAATTTAATGAATGTCTACTGAAGTCTGTTAAATTTCCTACAAGTTTGATAGTTTGGAGTTGCATGTCCTAGGAAGGTAGTGGTAACCTATGTGTAACAAAAGCCAGGATTAATGCTCAGGTTTATATAGAAATAATTCAGCACTCTTTCATACCATCAGATAATCACTTTGGTGATTTCAACGACTGGTGATTTGAAGCAATGCTATTTTCACTGAGCAAGAGCAGTAAAGGATTTGATACAGAAAAACAAATCAGGTATTTAAAGTGACCTGCTAACAGTCTGGATATAAATCCTATCAAAAACTTTGGTGAAAATTTATTTAAAAAACTCCTCACTTCAAAGGCACCAAATAAGGAGGAAAGAGTACTTCAATTAGAGTGAGTTGGCAAGAAATTGATAAAGATTATTGTCAAAGCCTGATACAATCAATGCCAAAACATATAATGGCTGTTATATGTAACAAAATTTCTTAGAAAATAAAATTTTCTAGGAAATCAACTATTATTAGAAATATTTTTAATTGAATAGTATTTTTTACTGTTATAAACATAAATAATAATTTATATATGGATTTTCTATTTATTGATAAATAGAGATTTTTATCTTTCCTATTAAATTTTAAGTACATTATTATTTATTGAACATGATTGGAAATTATACCCTCAGAGTGACAGCTATAAAATTTTGTCTTTAAGGTGAGGATAAAAACTTCATGTTAAATTTTTATTTCTTGTACAAAAAAGCTTCATTCTTATAGAAATAATTTACTTTTAATGTTTGTACTTAATTTATCTTAAAAATAAATTTTATTNTTCATAAAATTCTTTTAAAAATCATATCTAAATCTTTCTTACATAATTTAGCTATTTTTCATCCTTTATGTAACTGTCACACTATATTAAAAAAAAAGAAAGAAAATCAATATTTATGAATCATAGTTATGATATGACAATATGGAATTATAGCACCAGAATAAATAAAATATTAAACAAAGAAAGCATTATAAATTTTGAATTGTTTAACAATTCAAAATTTATAATGCTCTCTTTGTTCAATATTTTTAAAAAGAATTATTAAACAATAATTGTTTTAAAAAAATATTTAATATTAAAAAGAGTAATTTAATTTATCATCAGACAATTTTAGTTCATAAAAAGTAGAATAAGTTTATGTAATTTTAAGTTAATTAGTTCAGTTTTAAATATTCTTATAAATGATTGGAAATTATACCCTCAGAGTGACAGCTATAAAATTTTGTCTTTAAGGTGAGGATAAAAACTTCATGTTAAATTTTTATTTCTTGTACAAAAAAGCTTCATTCTTATAGAAATAATTTACTTTTAATGTTTGTACTTAATTTATCTTAAAAATAAATTTTATTCCTAGCATATTTTTTTTCAATTTTGTTGTTTATAGCTGTTGTGCTTTGTATATTCCACGTGATTGCAAAATTATGTCAAGGAGTAGTAATTTCTTTTGGAAAGCTATAAAATATAATTATTTATAGGTTCCTTCTCATCAGATAGTCGACACAGTTTTATTATTTCATTTGCCAAATAAACGAATGGTATCATTGAGATTCTTAGCTTGGCATTTTTTAGGTAAGTTTGATCTCTTGTAGTCTATATTAATATTGTAATACATGCATTAGTATTGAATTAATTAATTGAATTAAATATAAAAGAGAAAAAACATTTCATTAATTAATTGCTCAAATATCAATGTTCAACTTTCTTCTTTAAAAATTTCATCTTAATGGAAGTTGAATTAATGGATGAATAACACCAGTTTAATAAATATTTATCAGATATCACATTAAACATTACTGACATTAGAAATATTTCTGTTTATTCATTGAAAATTTTTTAGATTGAAACATAATTTTGTAAATAAAATTTTCTAGGAAATCAACTATTATTAGAAATATTTTTAATTGAACAGTATTTTTTACTGTTATAAACATAAATAATAATCTATATATGGATTTTCTATTTATTGATAAATAGAGATTTTTATCTTTGTTGATTTTTTAATAGCAACTGTTTTATCTAAAATATAAAAATTACTTTTTTTGATAGAAAAAATATTTTTCTCAAATATAATTGTTTTGTAAATAGAGAAACTAAATTAAAAATTTTTTGAATTGATTTCTCCTGTAAAATATAAATTTAATATCTTAATATTATAAAATTTTTACTTTTTTTTAATATTTGACATACCAGAAATGATATAATATTTCACAATGATTCTATTTTTAAATTTGATATAGAATTTCACTTAATTTGTATTAAGCTACATACAAAATTGTTTATTATTAAAACTGAATGTCATAGTAATTTTAGTTATTTATAATTTAACTTTTAATGGATGAAATTATTTACCTTTATTTAATAAATTTAAAACATGAGAAACAAATTTCAAAAGTTGTAAATTCATTAAACAATTCATAAAGATAAAAAAAATCATTAAAATGTATCAAAGATTAGCCATTCTGGCATTTTCTGTTTCTGCATTCCATAGTCATGATCATATTAAAAATAGTAATGGCATTGAATTTTTTATTTTAGATTATTGTCACTTTTAAAATATAATTTGTCAGTTGAAGCCAAATTACATTTGAAGCTAGTGTATTTTGAATTGTTTCAATACAAATTACAGTTAATGTATAAAAACAATTCTGAAAGATTAAATTTACATAAAAATTCATAGACAAAAAATGGCTAAATAGCTTAAAATAAGTGTTTGATGTAACTGTAGTCTTGAAACTTTTCAAAAGATTTCTTTGTCTTTGTGAATCATTTAATAAATTTAGATATTTAATCAGTTAAAAATTTCACTTAATATATATATATTTATTCTGAAGATACTTTTTAAATAACAAAAGACTAAACCATATATCTAGATCTAAATATTTTATATTTGTGTTAAAAATTATCAAATTAAAGTCAACATATAAAGAACTTGTTTAGAAAGCTCTATTTAATCTTCATTTTTTTTTTTAAGCAAAAATACATTTAAATTTAATAATATACCATGTTCAGTTATTATATGCTATTAATAAACTAAATCTTTGCAAAATTTAAAATTTATTTTATAAATTTGTTTAAATATATTTCTGATTTTTACACTGTATTATCATATTTTTATTTATCTTCTTTACAAATTCTATTATTTTTGAGAAACTGTAATGTAATCTTTGATGATAAATTTTTAAGTATTCAATTAAAAAAATTATTTTTAAATCTTATAATGTGGTTTTGAAATATTGATGTAAATTTCATAAAATTCTTTTAAAAATCATATCTAAATCTTTCTTACATAATTTAGCTATTTTTCATCCTTTATGTAACTGTCACACTATATTAAAAAAAAAGAAAGAAAATCAATATTTATGAATCATAGTTATGATATGACAATATGGAATTATAGCACCAGAATAAATAAAATATTAAACAAAGAAAGCATTATAAATTTTGAATTGTTTAACAATTCAAAATTTATAATGCTCTCTTTGTTCAATATTTTTAAAAAGAATTATTAAACAATAATTGTTTTAAAAAAATATTTAATATTAAAAAGAGTAATTTAATTTATCATCAGACAATTTTAGTTCATAAAAAGTAGAATAAGTTTATGTAATTTTAAGTTAATTAGTTCAGTTTTAAATATTCTTATAAAAGTACCATAGTAACAATATAAAGAATAAAAACAAATTAAATTTGGAACAAAAGATGACAAAACAATACTTAAAAATAATGTAGAAAGAATATTAATTTACTAATGACATATAGGGGAGACCGGGGCAACTTTGGCATGCGGGGCAAGTTTGTCAAGCGCTTTTTTTTAAAAACAAATTAAAAGGAGACTTTGGTTATAGGTTAGGCAGTTGAGTTTTATTGGTGGCTTGTTGAGTGTAGTGTTTTTATTGTTCTCCAACAAGCGTAGTTGAATTATCAAGCAAATTTTCATTTTCGTTCAATTCCATATAATATTTTTTTTCCATTTATATTGAATTGGCAGGTTTTGTTATAATTCCATGATAACGAAAGTTACTTTTCCTGTTAGAAGGATGTAACTTCAACTTATTCACGTGGCCAGATCGTGGCTTGGCATTCTGTTCTCAGGGTTGTACTTAATGTTTCGAAATCATGACTAGCGGGGTAAGATCGGCAACATAAAGCCACATTAGAAGCAAAGGATAAAAATCAAACAGATGATAAATGAAAACATGTTTGCATTTGTTATTCATGTATATATGTCTTTGAACTTGCATTTCGTTGTAATAATATTAAATGGGTGTTGGATTTGTATTTCTTTGTTTTAATAGTGAATTCCAACTTATACATTGTTAATAACATAATTTTATATACGTGCCTATCTTGCCCCATTACTGTTGCCCCTATACCAGGGGCAACTTTAATAAAAATAATTAAAATAATTACAACTTTACAAAAAGAGAGAAGTTGCCGATCTTGCCCCTATACCCGGGGCAACTTCGTCAATTTCTCTCTTCTTGTAAAGTTGTAATTATTTTAATTATTTTTATTTCCAAACTGATTTTAACCAGTTCTATAGTAAGAAAACATTCCAATAGACAATATGCAAAGCTTTTTTTTCAGTTTACAGCAGTATTTATTACACAAAATTTAAGTAAAGCTTAACATGCCGATCTTGCCCCTATCCATCTCCCCTATCCATCTCCATCTACAGTATTGTACATTTGTGAAATTTACTTATTTTTCTGAATCTGTTTGTTCTATTTGATAAATATTGTTTTAAGTAGCTTAATCATTATAGACATCAATCTTTAGCTTCTTTATTATTTGGAAAGAAATATTTTATATAATCATAATATTATAAGACAGATTATAAAATATTGATGCTGTTATGCATAGAGAAATGGGACTGTTGACATGGGTATTGAAGAAATTTTTGAAAATACATTTCAATTCCCTAAATCCTAGGAAAAGAAGAATTACTAGTGGTATTTTTAGATATTTATTTATAAAAGTAAATCATAAATAAATTTTTTCTGGATAAATTGCAAATCATAAACCAACAGGAATCAATATAAATCACAATTTATCCTAATAAAAATATTAAATGTGCATCATTATACATTCTTTAAAGACATGTATAAGAAATTTGATATCATGATTGATCTGAAGTGACCAAGCTTTATTTATAAAGCAAGATTTAGTTAAAGCTTGGTTAAATATGAGAGCATTTTTCTGATTATTCAACCAGTTACATTTTCTACGTTTCCAATCATCACACCTAATCTACTTGCTTACTTCATCTCTCCCATCATTTTCCGTATTTATTATATAAATTAATATTTCATTTCATATTTAAAAATTTATAAAACTTTTAAAAAATAACAAAACTGAAATGTGGCTTTTCAAATATTGGAACAAAGTATTTTAAAATATTTTTGGATAACAACATTTAGCTGCTATAAATTCACGGAAATATTAGCCATTGAAGACTGTTTTATGTTTGTTTACGTGGAGCGTAAAAACGATTTTAACAATTTTGCGGAAAACATAAAAAAGGCTTAAATAAATAAAATATTGTTCGTTCCATTTAAACTTAAGGATATCTTCTAAACGCATCCCACTCCATCTCAGGTTTCTATAGCAACGTCTAATCGTTCGTTACACCAGCTGTTGTTTGCCATAAAAAATCGAAGTGAAACTCAGTAGGATAAATTGGATTGTAATATGAAGTTAACGAATAAACCATAATTCTGTCTGAAAGCTATCAAAATTGTCTCTGGCCTCACTTGTATCTTAAGTTATATATCCGCTGTCAAATTACGTACGTTTCGAACAAAATTGTTACAGATGAAGTCGATAATAAATGTAAATCAATCAATAAAACGTAAACTTACGTTGTGATAATATTTTGAGTCTGAGGGAGCAGAAAAAGAGGAACAATCCTAGTTTTGCTCATTAGGAAATGTCTCATCTCTCACCGATCTCTGATATCATCTGTGAGATCCCCTGTTGATTAAGAGCTTTTAAATAAATTAAATACAAATTGAAAGTAAAATTTTTACACACTTTTAACATCGTAATTTGGAAAATTATTGTTTTCATTTTGAATCTTTGACATTTATATATATATATATATTCACCAGTCTGTATATTAAGAACTCTGTTTTACTTGTTCCTCATCCAATTTACTACTTTGAAGAATAAAATCTACTTTAATCAAAAGTCTTGGAAAAATGTTGTTATTTCGGGTTGGATAGATGATAACACTGAATTGTTTTCGCATTTTTGTTTATAAGTTTTACAATCTTTTAAATATAAATTTATCTACAGAAACATCGCTTATAGTTTTTTTATATCTGATGATTAAAAACATACAACGGATATCTTTTATAAATTTTTATAAGATTTTCATCTTAAAATTGAAGCGCTGAGAGAATATAAAAATTATCATTTGTCTATTATTTTGATTTCGAATTGCTCCATTGTTTGATGTGGTAAAATAAAATGTTAAAATATAGAAATTTATAGTACGTTTTATGAATTTCACTTACATAAAAGTAAGTGAAATTCATAAAAGTAGAATTTCACTTACATAAAAGTAA